GGCATTCTGTGACAAAACTAAAAATCTAAAGTCAAGGTAGTAAAAATACAGCTGTTCCCAAAACCAAGTGTCTCGGCTGAAATGTGATTTTCCTTTGTCCAACCTGTTTCCTGAAATAGACAACTCAAATAGTCAAGGTAAAAGCACTTGAAACAGTAATTTGGATAAACACAATTCAAACAATTATTCATAAGTCATATCAACTAAATTAAGATGCAATATTAATGTAAACCAACATACAAAAAAGAAAACATTGATATCATTAAATATCAAAACTTAATCTAGTTAAAACGAAAATATCATATACATTCAATTTTAATGTCAAATCAACATTTTTAAGTACATCCAAAAGCAACAGTCAAAATAATATCAGTTAAAACTAACGATGAGTTTCTCTCTCTCATTTATGGGTCAGGAATCGAAATGTGGTTCTAATACCAATTGAAATTACAAGGTTCGACCCAAATTACACCTAGAAGGGGGGTGAATAGGTGATTATGCGGAATGAAAAACTTATAATTAAATAGCAATAAGTCACTTTTAATTATCTCTATATGGTTAACAATCAATTCAATTTTCCTATGTTGAACTACCGCAGCTATATAAAAATAGTAAATAATGCAAAGAATGACTACAAAGAAACCCCAATTAGGTAAAAACTCTGGGCACTTTACCAGTAAAAAATCCACTATAAATGAATTTAAACTTACAGTCCATCAGACATGACTATCACTAGTACTTTCTGACCTCTTGACTGTAATTTCCACTTCCCCCTGGATTGCGTGCTCATGCACCAACTCCCAACTGTAATTTTCAAAGCCCTCCTGAAATGCGTGCTCCTGCGCCAAGTTTCGATTTTAATGAACTCATCTATCTTCTGTGGATCAATGAGGAACTCCATGTTCTCCAACAAAGGGAACTCCAGTCATATTTCCTTAATTTTCGGAATTCTTACAGATGTTTTGGAAGTAATGGTTTTAGTGTTTGGTTTAAGTGAATTTAATATTGTCACCGCCAAGAACAAATCAAACTACGAAGGTTGAAAGCTCTGGATGAATATTTGATGAAGAAGATGTGGAGAAATATGAGTTCTCTCGATGTTCAACCTTAGAAAAAATCGTTCGGAGGCGTGCTGATATTTATACTGTAGGTTTAGGGTTCAATAGACTGGACAAAAAGCCTTAAAAACGTGAATTAAAACTTTCTGGATAACCCTATCGCTCGAGCAAGGGATCAGCGATAGGCGAGTGACAGGTTGTCGCTCAAGTGAGGACAAGGAGCTGCGAGCGACGAAGTTTCTATTTCTGCCGTCCGAGTGAAGACATGAAGATGAGCTAGCGAAATTGAAGCACCTTTTTTCTCCTCTTTTCATACTCGAACCCTAGAACCTATACAACTCAACTTATACAAATTGCAACTTACTTGTTAACTTTTATATCATATTAATTTTAGTCTTTTTTTCACAGACTTGCCAATTACAATAAAGCCTAACAGTTGGCAATTTCAAAATTTGTAAATGGCAATTCCTTAGTTAAAATCATGTCCTAGATTGTATTAAGACTTTATCAAATTTTAGTCAAAATCAAAATAGGAGTTATTGAGTCCTAATTATAACAAAAGAGTTGAAATTGGTAATAGATGTCTTGAAAGAGTCCAAAATATCCAAGAAGATCACATATGATCCAGAGAATGCGATTAGAAGTCTAAAGAGCGTCAAAAAGTCGTATAAGTTACGCTTCAAATTTTCAATCGCAATTTGCGATACATTTTTCACATAAAAAACAAAAATTTGAAATATGGGCAAGGCTATCTCTGGAATAATTGCATCCCTTTAAATTAGATTTTCAATGCATTTTGAATCACATCAATCGAATATCGAGAGAGAAAGTTAAGAAACAAATAGTGACAATTACTCAGTTGCTACTTGCTTGTCATTGGCTTGGCGCTCGAGCCACTAGTCAACGTTCAGAAATCTAGTTTGCTGCAAACACTTGGTTTTTCAATCCATTTTCATCCCAAATACTTTTTCTATATATATCCAGCCCTATGAACGTCCAAAAGTGGATTGAATCACATTTATTCCATAGAGATCATTCTTTTGAAGATCCAAAACATTCATTGATTTCAAAATTCAATCACCACATATTACTTGATTCATAAATTCATCCAAATCATATTTTGTTGTTCAAGACATATTGTTTTATATAAACCCACGTATCAAAACACACATGATTTTTAGATTAAACACCAAATCACCTAATTCACCAGAGATAAATCGATACCAGGGATCAAGAACTGTTGAAAAAACACAAATTCAGGAGGAATAAGGTAAGGTACCGAAGTCGGGATTTGGCGTCGGACCACGTAGTCTAGGAGGGCTAAAGTATAAATCAGGAGTCTGTACTTTCTTAAGGAGCGCACATTCAGTAAGATTAAGGGAGATTGTAGGAATTGAGGTCAGAAATTCTATGGGTTAGACAGGTCTGGACCGTACTGTAAGTTTGCTTCGATTTATAGTGGATTACTGACATTCAAAGCGCTTTTTACCCAATTAAGGTTTCTCCATGATCATTTTTGATGTTATTTACTACTTTAATTATTGATTGTGATATTCAAACTTATGATAAATTGACTTGTTTGATCTAACCATCTAGAAACAATTAAAAAGTGACTTGTTATATTATACATGCAACATAGTCCATAAAGTTTTTTTGCAAATTTCAGTTTCACTCTGTTTCCAACAGATAGTTCAAAAATATCAGTAAATTAGTTGATCTTGTAATTAAATAGCTACTATGACGAGACGTTAGAGACGAGTATCAAACTCTGTTGGCAACCGTGCAAGACATTATCTTCTTAAGAAAAAGGAATTCAATTCATGTCTCAACCGTTTCAATTTTCTACTACTCTTTCTTCTACATTTTTGCTTTTATTTCAAGTATATTCGATATGTCGTCAATCTGTATTTAATAAATTCATCATAACCTGCACTACTATTTTTACAACATACTTGGGCTACCTTCGACAGATTTTTTTTTTTCTTTCTTTTCTTGCTTTCCTTAATCGCCGAAATGTCTTCTTTTAGTTTTTCACAATGGACAGAAACCATCATTAAGAATTAGATGCGGTAATTAGTAAAAGATTAGAATAAGAACGAGAAAAAGAAGGTAAGAGTCGTAGAGACGTAAGACTGGAGACTTCTTTTAATATAACCACTTAATTACAATTTATAAAAAGTAGACTTTTGCCTAAGTGATTAAAGCGAAGTGACCGATTTTAAAATTTCTTTTCTTTTTTGGCCTTTAGCTTTATTGTTTTCTTATTTT